CGCGCGGGGTTTCCCTGCACTGGTTGGCCCTGGGGCAGGCGCGTTCGGGGCTTCCCTGCGCTGCGTGTGGTCGGCCCCAGGGCAGGCACGGGCTGGTTTCCCTGGGAGGAGGGGAGAATCCTGGGAGGAGAGAGATGCAGGGGACTCGCCGCCTCCACTAGCCCCCCATTCCCCAGCCACAGAATGCTGTCCCCACTCCCCTGGCTCCAGCCACAGAACTCTGTCCCCATTCCTGTCCCCACTCCCTGAACTCTGTCCCCACTCTCCTGTCCCTATCTACAGAACTCGGTCCCTATTCCCGTCCCCACTCCCCAAACTCTGTCCCCATTCCTGTCCCCACTCCACGAACTCTGTCCCCACTCTCCTGTCCCTATCTACAGAACTCGGTCCCTATTCCCGTCCCCACTCCCCAAACTCTGTCCCCATTCCTGTCCCCACTCCACGAACTCTGTCCCCACTCTCCTGTCCCTATCTACAGAACTCGGTCCCTATTCCCGTCCCCACTCCCCAAACTCTGTCCCCATTCCTGTCCCCACTCCACGAACTCTGTCCCCACTCTCCTGTCCCTATCTACAGAACTCGGTCCCTATTCCCGTCCCCACTCCCCAAACTCTGTCCCCATTCCTGTCCCCACTCCACGAACTCTGTCCCCACTCTCCTGTCCCTATCTACAGAACTCGGTCCCTATTCCCGTCCCCACTCCCCAAACTCTGTCCCCAATAAATAACTTGATATAATATTAACGTAACAGGCTGCCTGTTGTCATTTAAGTACATGTTATAACTTGTTTGTTTTTTTAAGGAAAACAAAACAAAATATTAAATAAAAACATGCTTAAGTTATATCTATATCTATATCTATATCTATCTACAAGGCCTAATTCTAGTTCACGATTAGCAACAAGTTTGTTTTTACAGTGAAATTCAAAATTAACACACAAAACAGTGTAAAAATCTTGACAAAAGTGGCAAGACATCCTGAAAAGCAACAGGAAATGCTGAGAAAATAATATAACAAAAGAGGAGCTTGTTCTAATAAATAGCTACTTTTCCCATTCCTCTCCAAATTTTCCTTCCATGCATTGGTAAATCTACTAAAGTAGCAAGACAACACATGAAAGGCATAAGGCAGTTTATAAAGAAAATATACTTTCACTGAATTAATGGATGCCCTTTCCAGAATCTTTATGAAGCTGTAAAAAATTTGAAACTGTTTCAGTGTGGTTATTTCATGAGAACAATATGACTTTCCAGAAGCGTAAATACTTCATGAATGAAATGGATGCTTTTATACACCTTTCCATCAGTGTAAATTATTCTTGAAAGCAAACTGCCATTTGTAGGTAGTATCCATTTAAACAACAGAAATAGATTGTGGATATGGTATAAACGTAATGAATCTAATACTAGTATTAGTAAACCTGAGTACGCAGAGAGCATGTAGGTACTTGTTGCCTGCTTCCGACGTAAGTAATATTGCAAATTAATATATTGCTGTAGGAGGAATGTGTGGCAAAGGAGAATGAGGACAAAGTAATGTATAAAAAAATAAGCATTGTACCATATACATACTATAAAATCCTGCTTGGTTAAAGACTGGCCTATTCACTGTGAAAAAACTTTAAAACAGAAAGTCTGGTTTCCAAAGGTGTTGAACACCACTCTGGTTGAATAATGCTATCAGTAGAGCTGAACAAAAACTTTAAAAAATTTGATCCATTTCTGCTTTATATTGTTAGTTAAAGTCTGTTTGGTTATGCACTTTTGACAGGAAGCAATTCTGATGATAAGCTGCAGATAATGCACCATATTCTTTATTCCACGAATGTCAGTTTGTGCTGCTATGGAGCACATAGTGGCCTTAAAATACTCAGAGACTCCTGGGGAGAATGCCCCCCTTATGTAGAGGAATCTCCACAGATGTACAGCCAGTAATGATAGTGCAGCCACATCGTATGCTCTTATAAAAGGAAAGAGAGGGAGAAAGATGAGCTCCGTTACATTCAAACTTGAGCTACAGTAAAGGCAGATCTACACTGTGAGGACAGGGCAATCTAAGCCCTAAACACAATTTGAGTTGCATTAGTAGCGTAATTCAAATCAATTTAGATTAGATCTACTTACCAAGGAGTCCATACCACACTAGGTCAAACTCTCCCATTGACTCCTCTTACTCATCTCATTCAGATGAAATTCCAGTTAACAGAGAGTGAATGGCATTTGATTTAGTAGACCTTCACTAGACCCACTAAATCAACCTCCAGTGGACTGATCGCTGCAACATCAACCCATCCCATAGTGGAGACAAGCCTTAAGAGACCCTTATGCCATCACTGGCAGGAACCAGAGTTACAGCAGGACTCATCTTGCTCTAATTTACACCAGAGTTGGGCAGCCCTAAAATTAGGTAGCTACAACTGCCTCCCTGCCGCTGCCCCTGTCTGTGCTTGGACACAGTGAAGACTCAGATCTAGTAACTTCAAAGTGAAGAAAAAGGAGAAGGCATGTGAAAAGCAAAGAAGTCTCTTTTTATTCATGTGTCAGCAATAACAAATGTAAGACAAATCTAGATAATCTAGATTATCATCTGACAACAGAGTGATCTAAAAGGGCTTTTCAGTTCCCAGGATGAAAGGTCTTCCACTGCATTTAAACCCTGTTTTGGTGGTGTGTGTGAGATGCTGTGGACGGAAAGGCAGTAAGGGACGCTTGTACACTATGGAAAGGATACCTCATGCACTGGACAAAGTCAAAGATGGGGATCATGGGATCCACATTTATGCAAACAAACAAGCAGTGTGGTGGGGTTGAAGCTGCTAATCCAGTTCTCTATGGAGTAATGCCAAAGGAGTGGTTGCACTGAATCTATATCATAGCCAGGCTTAGGGTTTTCAGTTTTACCCTCAACCCACCCAGTCCTCCAGCAAAGTTCAAATCACTCAAGCTTTAAGAAAAAGTGTATTTCATTCATTACCTTGATTTAGTTCCATATCTGTTACTTGCCGTTCAAGCTGTAGCCTCAATCTCTCATTAGTTTTAATGGAGTCTTCTAAGCGTTGTCTTAGAGTTCGAATTTCTTGAAGATGCTCCATTAATAACTCTAAATAAATCAAGAGGTCTCTCTTCATTTTGAGCATATGATTATATTATTTTACAGATGGCACGGTATACAGAACAGTGTGAGAGATGTAAAATTACAAAAATCACCATGACAGGGACTAAGTGGATGGTATTCAGAGTGGGGCTTTTCAGTATTTTAGATGAGTCTTACTGAATATTGTATTTTGTCATTTAGATTTAAACATTCCTTTCATGAACTCTTTATTCTTTGTTCTCAAATAATCATAAGCCCTAGTTTTAGTTTCTTCTAAACTTCTACTTAAAACCAGTATGAGATCACATAATTTTCTGGTTAAACTGTTCTATTTATTTGGTAACCAATTTAAAATTTACAATACAACTTCATTTCTAGACTTAATACACCAACTGTGTATGATTTCCCATATAACAGGATGAGCACTAGAGTAACTCATATGTAAAATAAGTCTTTCACTTACACTTTATACAACAGATTACATACCTTAAAAATAAGTCTGAACTATCTAGTTTCAGTACAATACCTTTTCCTTTTTGCTTTACCATTCGGCAATTCCTCTTCCTCTTCTCTTAATATTTCAGCAATAGTCAGGAACTTATTTTCAGTTTATCCATGTCACCTACTGCTTAATTTGAAATAATTTTTCCCTGAACACTGTATACTCTCTCAGCTGTTAAACTTTCATCTCTGTTTACTGCAAACTATTTAAACCATTGGTTGCACTTACTGAAACTATCCAGGTCAAACATGACACCACTTATTAATTATTCAGGACATACAGTTTTCAAGGAAACACAAGACTGGGTTTTATAAAATTAGAAAATCTGTCTTTTTTATTTAATAATGTCTGTATTGCCTCATGACTTGTCTATTTAAGGTATGTCTAGAGTACTGTACAGGATGACAGTCCAAAACAACAAAGGTACGAACTATCATAGCTGATTTTGTTTCAAAGGGAAGATAGCTTCCATCATAGTCACCTTGGTACACATGATTACTGAAATTACAATGATTATGCAACATACTGGAAAGATTAAACAGATATATATTCCACATTATTTCTTAATTAGTTCCCTTATGATTTTTTTATTTATCTAATTTTCCCCAATATACAGTGAATCTTCAGTGGGAAAAAAATTACCTGGGGGAAACTTGTTTGGCACAAATGCTAGTTTGTCATGTTCTTCCTCCACTAGGTCTTGTTTATGTGTAGGTGATCTAACAGATGATTTTTCTGACATTTCAAAGTCAGACATGCTATGAAAATCAGATGGTACAGGTAATTCATCCGTAAGTTGCTGGTACACTGTGGTGGTCTTCTCATTATCCCTTGTGTGTCAAGAAAAATATTTTAAAATGTACAGTGATAATTATTGTTTCAGAAGCACAATGAATAAAGAGAGATTGGTGTCAAATTCACAAGAGACCATTCATAGCAGCAGATTTTTAAAGATTCACAATGCTATATCACCACATAGCAGAGATAAAGTTCTAGGGTGAAATCCAGGCCCTTCTGAAGTCAGCAGGAGTTTTATCATCAGTGGATTTCAATTACCCCTAACATCCATTTTCCAAAACCAATCTATTTTAAAAGCCTTTTGGGGCAAAGACAAGATTGTTCCAGCATAAAATAATCCTGGGCTGGAATAAAACCAGTTTAGTTCATGTCACAGCACTTTTCCCCCACACCACCATGAAAGGGTATTTGAGAATAAAGTTGGCAAGCAAAACGGTTTGATGGTAACAATAAAAGACCGATCATACTGAGTCAAACCAACAACTCATCTAGCACCCATCTCCTGTCTTCTGACATCATCAGGTCTGAGAAGCTTCAGAGAAAATATTGGACAATTAATCAAGTGACACATCCCCAGTGGTCTACTTCCCGTTTCCAGCAGTCAAAGGTTCATGGACATTCAGAGCATGGAGTTGCATCCCTGATCATCTTGTCTAATAGCCACTGATGGGCCCAAACTTCATGAACTTATTTAATTATTTTTAAACGCATTTATACTTTTGGTCTTTACAACATCCAGAGGCAACGAGATCCTTAGCTAATACCTACAGTTCAGTCCAAGGGTGAGGAGAAGAGTAAGGCAGCTTAAAGACACCTCTTGCCAACCCTTTTCTCTCAGCTAAATATATATGCTAATCTGTTATGTTATTCTAATTTTATGTATTCTAATAACAGTCTTAGAAACTTGACACCCCACTTTAGTGCCTCTGCTAATAAACCTTTGCTGAGAAGCGGCGTGAGACGGATGGGGTTGTTTTCTATGACTATTTTGTTAACAAAATATGTATTAATGCAACAAATGATATATAAGCAAATGGTCATCTCAATGTGCATTAGAGTTGAAGCTGTGCTATAAAACATGTAGGCTCTATCATTTTAACAGAAAACAAGAAGTTTAATACTAGTCTTCAAAGGTACACTTACCTTTGTGCTAATATATAGAGTTTGGCAACTTCTGCATCCAATGATTCTCCTGCACAATAAAAATATTTTTTTAAAGGAAGAAAAGTGTACTCAAAATTATACTGGTTATCTCATCTTTTCCTCTGCATTAGTGTATTTGAATAATTTAAGTGCTAATTGAACAATAAACTGGAAAGCGCAAATATATACCAGCCTAAGTAAGAAACAGGGTATAGGGTCTACTCTCATGAGTCAGAGGATGCACAATTAATGTGTTAATGCAAAATTCTATGAAGGTGTCATGGATGAATGTGTGGAAGAGAGGGTAATAAAGCATGATTTTATCCCATGCTACCAGAGCAGCAGAGCAATATCTCTGCCTGATGCTCAAAAGAATGCTAGGTGAGGTGACCAGCTACCATTCCTACCAGCATTTCATAGCTTTAGGGTCCTGGGTCAAGGACCTATTGCATCTGCTATAGTTATGATGACCATATTTTAGCCATGTCCCCTGACCCCCGTTAGCCACACCCACTGCCACAAGAAGTCCCACCCCTGGAAGTAGTACTCCTGGGGACAAGGAGGACACATGACCCCTCTAAGAATTTCTCCTACCATCCTTCTATCAATAGGGCTGGATTTGGCCCCCATAAAACCCCCCATGCAACTGCATTAACCCAATTTGCATTGCATTAACTTGGGGGGAGAGGTTGGGGGAAGTGTTCCCTCTAAGATTTTCCTCCCATAAGCAGAGTGAATTTTGTCTTGTACACCAGTGTTGAGTTCATGTGCCACTGTGGCATCCAAGTAGTTAATAAATATCTTACAAACCTCTCCCTTTTCCCTCTGCTGCCATGTCTCCTACCCTTCTCTCACCCCATCTGCTCCCCTGGTGCCTGCTGCCCCCCACCCCTCACCCTCCTCTGCTGTCCTGGTTCCTGCCCTTTTCACTCCCCTCAGCCCTTTGGGGACTCGCTCCTCTCCCCTGCACCAGCCCTTCTCTTCCCCTTGTCCACTCCTCTTTAAGCCCCACTCTGATCATCTGTAGCTACCCCTCCTCATCCCCTCTCCTAGCATCTCCCTCTACCCACTTGGCCTGCCTCTCTCCTCTGGTGCCTCTCTCTTCCCTCCATGTGTCTGCCCTTTTTCTTCATCCCCACAATCTCCTGGCACCTGAACCTTCCGTAACCCCTGCACCTCCCCCATCCTTCACTGTGCCTGTCCTCCTTGCCCCTTTCTCCCTGGTGCCCACCCCCTCACCACCCTTTGCCCCTATTTTCCTCACGCCCCTCTGTGCCCTCACACATGACTTGCTCATCCCCTGCCTTCCTCATGCCCACCCCTCTTCTCAACCCCTCTTCTCCTTTTCCTCCCTCCTGGGGGATGTCTAGACTACATGACTCTGTCGATGGAGCCATGTAAACTAGTTTACCCGACATAGTCAATGAAGTGAGGATTTAAATAAACCTCGCTTCATTAAAATAAAAATGGCCGCTGCGCTGTGCTGACAATCAGCTGATCAGGCACAGTGCAGCAGTCTATACGCGGATTGGTCGACAAAGGAAGCCTTTGTCGACTGCTCCTGTAAACCTCGTTTCATGAAGCACAAGGGAGCGGTCAACAAAGGCTTCTCTTGTCGACCGATCTGCGTCTAGACTGCCGCGCTATGCCGGATCAGCTGATTGTCAGCACAGCACGTTGGCCATTTTTATTTTAATGAAGGTGAGATTATATAAATCCCTGCTTCTTTGACTGTGCCGAATAAACTATTTGACATGGCTCCGTCGATGGAGCCATGTAGTCTAGACATAGCCTCAGACGACAGAGTCACGTAGTCTAGATATACCCTTGGTGATGTCACCTTAGTCCTTTCAATCCCCTACTTGTTCACAGTGCTAATCCTCCATGCTAATGCTTTACAGTCAACTCTCAGTAATCCGAATGTTCTTTATAATCCTACATGCATCTTTTTATTTTAATGTGTGGTTCAGTGCAATACCATTGTGTTGTCTCAGTTGTCAGTGATTTTTCATAGTATAGGATACCACCTGTTCATTGGAAGGAGGGAGGGAGAAGACATTTTTATGTTGATGCACTACAAAATAATCTTATTTGCAATGCAAGTACACTCAATTTTTTGTTATAATAGCATGACGCACTCTAGATGTAGCATCTTTTTCACACATGTGCCTATTTAGTTTAGATTACAAGCTGGGAAAATATAACTACATACCATACAGAAATTTTTTTTCCAGCTTCTCAAAAAGTTGCACACTTTGATTCAGCTGTTCACGGAAGCCCTCAGCAACATAATAATCAACATCACTGGCTTGAAGCAGTTCCTCAAAAGCTTTAATAAGGCTGGTCAGATGCTGATGATAGGTGACACAGATGCTGTGTATCTCTTTAATTTGCCGGCGTTGAAAGGAGAGCTCTCGAGCTTGGGAATGTAACAGTGAATCATACCTGAGAAAATGAAATTATCTCTGAAAAGAATGTTTTGACCACAACAAACATTTAAAAACAAACTAAAATAAATTAATATTCTGTTTTTAGACGAGAATGTTATGTAAATCCAATTTCTCTAAAAATGGCCAACAGCAACAGTGACAAAGATGTCTTATTAGGCTTTATATTCTGCAGGTTATTATGCCTTATGTAACTGCTTAATTGATAAGATAGGCAGGAACTGAAATGATGAAGTCACTTGGAGGCCACCAAAGTACACAGCATTAACCTGATTTTTAGAATTGGACAACCAAGAGAGTCAGGTAGCACCTGAAGGAGCGATAATGAAATAAATGGGGGGAAAAAATTCTAAAGAGGCTAAAAACATACATTTCGACATGAATATGAAGTTCTAAATGGGTCAGATGGAGTCCACCTTCCTCTGAAACAGTATGTACTGTTGACTGTTAGAGGTAGCATTCTGGACTTTGTGGGCAATAACTATGACTAATTCTAGGTCCACTATGAATAATTCTAGGTTTCTGTTGGGTTTGTTTATTACTACAGATGTGATCATGACAACTAACTTAGGGTATGTCTACACTACCCCGCTAGTTCGAACTAGCGGGGTAGTATAGACATACCCTCTGAGTCCCTAGTGATACTATGTAGTAACCAAAGGATTAGGTTGTTTTCATGTCTGTGGTCCCAGATTAGATTAAATTGATTTTTGAAGATTAGATTTTTATTCTTCCATGAAATTGCCATGTGGAAAACCTAGGGCCAGCACTGATACAATTTACTCTCTGGGACAAATATAAAGTAGAGTCTGAGATAGTCTAAGAGAATAGAAATTCTGTTTTCTGAACAATTTCAAGATTTCAAACCTTGGCTTCGTTTTGAATCAGAACAAATTCCCAAACATTTGAAATTCCTTTGAATACAAAGGAAAATTCCAGAAAATAAATCATTTTGAGTTGAGAAAAATGGTTTGATTTTTGACTCAGTTCGGTCACATTTTCTCTGAGCAGCTCTAGTGTTTTATTTATACTTTCTTTCAGCCTCTTTTTTGATCATTCTGCCCTCATTTACACTTGTACTGTGTTACACTGGAGTTACACTAGTAAATCTGAATGCAGCATTATGCCCTGAGTGTGCAAATTACCTCAGTTTATATGCACCAGTCAATAACGATCGACCTGTTGGTGACCACGGGATTAAAGGAAGGAAGTGCAGGCAGGCATTGCAGACTGCTCTGAGTTCCAACAGGTTGATGTGTTGTTTGGATTCCTCGTGATCACGGTGCTTGGATAATGTGCTGGTCTAAGTGGGCTCCCCACCCTATCAACAATTTGTCTGTGGTGACTGATACAGAAGGCTGTGCTGGTTGGAAGGGCACTCCCTTGTAGATATGGTCATGGATCGTCCACCAGGAAAGAGAGTTCTTTATTTTGGAGGGCATGGAGAGCTACTTGTTTATGTGGTTCACATGTGGTTTGAATAACATGCAAGACCTGTACCAGTTTCATGCAGAGGTGTGCATGTGGTATCTGAAAAGGTGGCCACAACCATGTGACCTAGGAGTTGAAGGTAGTGTTTTGCTGTGATATGTGGACTGATCTATGGTAATGAGATGAGATCCATAATTGCTGAGAATCTCTGTATTGGCAGTGACATTGTTGCTGTTAAGCAGTCTACGAATTCCAAACACTGAGTGGGGATGAGCATGCATTTCTGGAGATTTATCTGTAGGCCCAGGATATCAAACAGGCCTCTGGTGGTAATGACTGCCCATTCCATCTTGAAAGCTGTTAGACCAACAGGTAGACAATCGCATCTGGCTTGCCTGGATCCAGCCCCTGCCATCCCCTCTGCAGAGCTGGAACATACTAAATCTACTAGCCTGGGCCCCCACAAAGCTCTGGTGTGCGGGAGGAATGTCTCCTCCTCCGTCAAGGGACCGTCTCAGGGAGGGGGGGTTGGGGTTTTGTTTGTTTGTTTCTCACCTGTGTGTGGCCCCCAACTGATTTTTCTGAGGATCGGCGGCCCCCGACCCAAAAAAGGTTCCACACCCCTGTCTTAAATGGCAAATTGGAGAATGCACCTGTGTGCCAGATGTATGGAAATATGAAAATGTGTGTCCTGTAGGTCAAGGGTAGGCAGCCAGCCTCCCTTCTGTAAGGCAGGAATTATGGTAGATAGGGTCACCATTTCAAACCGTTCAGTGCAAATGAACTGGCTGAGGTTGCAGAGGCCTAGTATGGCTCTCCACCCACCTGTTTTCTTGGTTGTAAGAAAATAGCGGGAGTAAAGCACCTTGCCCCTATGTTCTTGGGTTACATGCTCTATGGCTCCTAACTGCAGGAGGTGGTCCAGTTCCTCCATGAGAACAGCTTCATAAGAGGGATCTCTGAAGAGGGATGGGGGGTGCATAGGTGGAAGAGTAACTGGAAAAGTGATACAATAACTAGTTTGCACTATATTTTTCCATGGTGATGTTGTACCATGCTAGATAAAATGAGGCTAGTCTCTTTTCAAATGGTTTGGATAAGGTCAATTGCTGACTTGGAGATATCAGGGCTCTCAAGCCTTTGACCAACACTTTAAAAAGCCAGGTGTGAAGAAGGTGGTTGTGGGGCAGATTCTTAAGCTGCTGGTTGCCTGTGTCTATTCTGGTGTTATCGGCACTTGCTGTCAAAGTGCCTAAAGTTGCTGGTTAAAAGGCATTGGTCTGTATCTTTGTGTAAATGATCTTCCTCGTTTTCTCTTTGTGACAGGAATGTGTATGCAAAGGGCTGTGAACATGAAGCATGCGTCTTTCTGGGTATGAAGTAAGGCATCTGTGTACTTGGAGAAGAGTATGGACCTTTCAAAAGGCAGATCCTCAATTGCAGACTGAACTTCCCTGGGAAACCTGGAAAGTTACAGCGAGGAGGCTTGTCTCATGGCCACTGCAGATGAGATAGACCGAGCCATTGTGTTGGCTGAGTCCAATGAGGCCTGTAGAACTGTGGGGGAGATTAGAGCACCCTCACAGATGTTAGCTCTGAACTACTCTCTTATTGTCTGGTAGGAACTCAATAAAAGTCATCTTCTGGTCAAAGATGTTCGCCAAAAGTGTGGCTTGGCTGGAAATACATAGTTGTAGTGTGGCTGAGGAGTAGGCCTTTCTGTTGAATAGGTTAAACCTCCTTCAGTCCCTGTCATATGGTATAGTGTGGGTTGTCTGTTGCCTGCCACTCTGATTTTTTGCCTCCACCACAAAGGAATTGGGGGTGGGGTGTGAGAATAAAAAGTCTTCTCCCTGGGGGGGCTACATAATACTTTTTGTCCTATCTCTTGCATGTTGAAGGTACTATGGCTGGGGTTTGCCAAATGGTTCTTGCCGGGTCCATTAGGACATCATCCACTGGAAGGGCAAGTCCGGCATATCGAGAGGCATGAAGTATGTCCATCAGCTTATGCTGATTCTCCAGCATGCATGAGAGAGGGTTCTCCAAGGAGTCTGCCACCCTTCTAAACAGCTCCTGGAAGAATTTAAAATCATCCTACGGAGATGGGGGCATGATAGTGTCATCTGGTGAGGAGGATGACAAATGTATTGGTGGGGGAGAGTCAGGTGTTTTTTCCTCCCCAGTTACATCGGCGTCCCCTTCCTCCTCCATTAGGGACTGGTTAGGTTACTAGGCAGTTAGGACCCAAGACCTGGGTGCTGGTGAAGGTTGTGACAGCTGTTGTAATTGCTGTGCCCGCCATGCAGCCCAGGTGTCCCAGTACGGCCAGTTGGGAGGAATTGGTGGTGGTAACCACTAGAGGGTTGCCATTGAAGAGGCTGCTTGTTGAGCCTGTGGGAGGAGTGCCTTGGGGTGTGTAGTATGCAGGATGAAACCCATTTGGAAACGCGTTGCACTGAAATCAGTGTGCCTTTTGAAAGTGGTGTGATGGATAGAACATATGCGGAGACAATTGGAATGGTCGCGGTCTATCTAAATAAAAGGCTAGAACTTGTCGGAAGTCAAGTGTGTGAAGCCCTGGAGGATGCGTGAGGCTTAGGAAAAAATGCTGGTAGTACTACTGGCTTATTGATATAGGAAGGCTGTACAAACCTTGGGTAGAAATGTTTGATGTGCTCTTAAGGTTACTTTGCCTTTGGTGAAGATTGTATATGGGCCCCATCTCACTAATCCACATTGCAAAGCTGATGGCTGTCAGGAATAGTGCCCTCATTAATAGGAATGGGAGTGGACAAGTGGCCAAAGGTTCAAAGGGAGGCCTCATGAGACAGTCCAAGACCAAGTTCAGATCTCAAGTAGGGGCTGGCACCCTATCAGAGGGTAAAGGTTGTGGAGGCCCTTCAGAAATCTTGTAATGGGGTGTGCAAAGATGGATGAGCCCTCTATCCATTCATGAAGAGCTAATATTGCTGCAAGGTATACCTTCATGGCGGAGATTGATAGGCCACCAGTTTTAAGATGCTACAGATAATCGAGGATCTGATGGAGTGGGGTGCTATGAGGGTAAGTATGAGTCTGATGACACCAGGCAGAGAATCTTTTCCATTTTTACAGGTAGGTAGTCCTAGTTGATGGCCTTCTGCTTTGCAGAAGGACTGATTTTACTTGTTCTGAGCATAGAAATTCTGTACCGTGGAACCAGACAGGAGCCACATATGTAGCTGGAGTATGTGTGGTTGGGGGAGAGCAGTTTGCCCCCTTACTGAGATGGGATGGAAGATGAGACAGTGTGGCTGTGGACATCACGCAGAGGCATGGAAACCAGGTTTGTCTGGCCCAGGAGGGGACTATCAGTATGACCCAGAGCTCTTGTGTAAAACTCTGAGGATGAATGGAACTGGCAGGAAGGCGTAATATAGCGGCTCATTCCAATAGATGAGAATCCCCTGCCTAGTCCAGCTCTTGAAAAGAAATCAGAGGCACTTGGTATTGTTGGGAGTCACAAAAAGATATATGGTTGGGATTCCCCAATATCATCTGACAACAGATTTCTTAGAGCCCTGAGATCAAGGAGGTTGATGTGTAATGAGTACTCATGTGGTGACCATCTGTCCTGGACTGTGTGTTGAAGCAGGTGTGCTCCCCAGCCCATGAGAGAAGCATCGGTGGTAATCTGCATGGATGGTTCAGGCTGGTATAAAGGTACTCCTACTAGGAGGTTGCAGGGTACTGTCCACCATACAAAGTAGTTTAGCACCTTCTTGGGGGCTGTGATTGTTTGTGCAAGGGGTGACTTGCGGGCTTGTAAACTGACGCTAACAAGTGTTGTAGGGCTCTGAAATGGAGGCACGCATGTTACATGAAGTAGTGGCAGCTATGTGGCCTATTACCTGGAGGCAGGTAAGTGCTGCAGTGGTAGGAGTAGCCGTCAATATGTTGACAAGATGACATAGGGCTGTAAATCAGTGAAGTGGGAGTCAATGAATTGAGATGGACCCCAATGAACTCTATGCCCTGTGCAGGCTTCAGGGTTGGCTTCTGCTCATTTATTAGGAAGCCCAGATGACTGAAGAGCTGCCTGGTCTTGGAGACCATGATGGTAGTCACTACCTGGGATTGGCCTTTTATAAGACAGTGGTCTAAGTATTACACGATCACGATGCCTTGCCAGGACCTTTGAGAAAATCAGGGAGTGGAAGACAGCCCAAAAGGCAGGACTCTGAAATGGTAGTGGTCATCACCCGCAGTAGATCAGAGATATTGTCTGTGTGATGGGTGTATGGCGATATGGAAATATGCATACTGAAGTTTGAGGACTGCAAACCAGTCCCCTTCATCTAAGTCCCGTAACTCGATATGTTCATTAGGGAATTAAATCCTCCTCCTCTTCAGAGTCCATAGTGGTTGATAGTGTGAGAGAGCAAGAGTGGAGGGAGTCTCCTCTTCGGGGTAGACTGTGCGGTAGAATGTCTTTTCCATGGATGCCAGCAGTCCCGTGGTGACCAGCACAGAGGGTAGTGGGGTTGTGGGTACGGCCACTCTGGAGTACCAAGGAGTGTACTGTCATCTTTATTATTAGCACGAGAGACCATGAGAGGCAGTGGGGGACTAGCGCTGTGATTAGAAAACACTGTGCTGATTGTCTTAGTTAAAGGCAGCATGCTCAGAGAGTACAGGAGACCTCACACGGCGTGGGGAAAATACCTAATGAGAAAGATAGCGGGGAAGCCTCTCTGGAGGAAAGAGGTGAGACACCCCTGCCTGCCACTTTTGTCTGCCTGGCTGCCATGTGCTGGTGCCAGTGCCTCCATGGAAGGCAGCATCGAGTCAGGATCTTGGGGGCTCGCACTTGACTACAGTCCCTAATGACATGACTGCTTGGTCACTGGTGTCACAGATCTCGGTGCTGCGTATCTCAATGCCGGCACCAGCATCCGGGTGCACCAGCGAGAGCTCTCCAGTGCCGATGATGCTCTTTCCACCACCTGGGCTAAGCATGATGTGGTGGTTGCGATGCTAGTTTGAGCCCGATTCCCCAGTGCCAGAGGTGTTCCTCTTGGCCCCTCCGGCCACTCTAGCAGATGGGAGTTGGGGGCAGGGATTTAAAGGGAGATGGCCCCTTCTTAGCCTGCTCGTGGGGCAACGATGAAGCGGCTCTCTTTCTGGGAGCCTGTTCTGCCGGTAGAGACTCTCGAGAGCACTCTGGCTGCATTGCCTTTTCAAATAAAATCATTCGGAGATGGAGCTTAATATCCTTCCTGGCTCTCACTGTGAGACCGCAGCACAGTTCGCATTTCTGAGGTACATGAGCTTCCCCCAACCACTGGCTATAATATGCATGTTTGTCCAAGACTGCCATTGGCCCTTGACATGACTGGCATTTTTTAAAGCTGGAGCAACCCAGCTTTGTGCTGACTGCAAGGGTCGTAGGGGCATGTTTCCGTTGCATGGCTTTTGCCCCTGCTTATTTAGTTTATTATTGTCATAACCCTGCATAACCCCTGCTTATTTAGTTTATTATTGTCATTGTTTTCTGTCGTCTTCTTTTTCTTTTCTCATTGGTGCCAATGGTGTCTTGGTGAGTACTGACATGGAAGACTTCTGCTTTGTCTGGGCCAATGCCTTGGAGGAAGTCCATGTCCTATCCATTGAGTCTTGGCCCTTATTGGTGCCGGACTTCATTGGTGCCTCCCCTTCCGGTGCCTTGGGTGCAGTCGGTGCAAGAGTTGATTTTTTCTGAAGACAGCTTTTCCTCATGTGGGAATCAGCCCGAGAAGGGAAATGGCATATTTTCTTGGACGCCTCAGTCGTCTCAGGGTCCTTGGAGCTTAACCTTACAAGAACTGTTCTCTCAGAGACTGCCACAAGGGAGGGTTATCTGGACGGAGTGATAATGCTCTGGGTCCTAAGCTGGGTGGACAGTCTTCTCCATCAGAGAAGCATCATCTTTAGCTGTAACTATTTCACTTTCCTGATCCTGGAAGTGAGTTTCTTGCAGTGAGTGCACCGAGTGGTACATTTCTCCTCTCACAAACATCGGACACAGTGGGAGTGTCTGCCAGATAAAGGAATGGACGGCCTGCAGGTTATAAACCTTTTGAAGCCAGGCAAACCAAGCACGTCCAATACACTATTTCTGCAAGGCAGAACCTTAGAGAAAAAAGGCTAGTTAACTATCTCTAACTTCTTCTTTAAACAGACTACATTAATTAAACTATCAACTATTAACTATAAACTAACAATAAACTATCAAAAAACTGTCTAATGGACTAACAACTAGCTAATGCTTGAGGGAAATTGCTGGGTTCTGACCAAGGCCAATGGTGAAAGAAGAAACTGAAGGAATAGTTGGCTGCAAATACAGAGTAGTGGCACATATGGTGCGTGCCAGCTGCCCCACATATGCAGTCAATTGAAGGCACTGTTACCTATATTCTCCGATTAGAAGAACAGAGGTGCTCAGACACTCAAGGTGGAGCACCCACAGAGATACTCCTCAAAAAAGAACATAAGGTCCCAAGGAATTTGGCAGCGAACTGCCCATACAAGTGTTTTAGACTATTTCAGATCTGATGAAGAATTTCTTTAATCTTGCCATAAAAATTAGAAAGTGAGTGCTGCAAAATCCCAGGAGCACTGATTGTGGCTCAAACTCATAGATTTTAAGTTCAGAAGGAACCGTTGTGATCATCTAGTCCAGGGCTACTTTGGAAGCCCCGGGGGCCACAATGATACTCACAGCACATGCCGAGGGCCGCAACTCAAGTGTGGTTGAATATACATTGAAATATATACATGCAAATATATGCAAATAGCTTCTTTCACGCTGACGGGCAAGAATACAAAGATTAAGGCAAGGCTACACAACATGCAGTCCCCATTTAAGTCAGTTCTTCTGATATTAATAAAATGCAATATTTACCCAATTTCCACGCACATGACAGCACTTTTAATGAGCAATAACAGTCCAGGAATTTAACTACTAACATACATATCAACAGAAGACCATTATACTGACTCGCCGTTGTGGAGCATGTTCCCAGTGGAAGGCATGCTCAAAGGATCCCCCCCGCAGGCCGTGTGCTGAGCCCTGCGTAAACCCAAACTGCACCATGGGACGCAAACAAACGGACCACATGTTGAGTAGCCCTGATCTAGTCTGACCTCCTGCACAGAATTTCATGCACCCCCTGCTATTACTTCTGGCTGAGTTACTGAAATCCTCAAATCATGTTTTGAAGACTTCAAACAGATAACCTAACAATCTAGTTTAAACCAGCAAGCAACTAGTGTCTCGTGCCACAGAGGAAGATGAAATATCACCAAGGTCTCTGCCAATCTGTTTTACGACATCCCCTCCCACAGAGAAACTTGCAAGAAAAACTTCACTCAAGAAATCCAGTAGGAGACTGCATCCTGTAAGGAAGTTGTTTATAGGACTGTGGAGGGAGAAGGGCATCTGGCATAAAAATCATCATGGGAGGATGATATGGATGCATTAGAAGCAGTCCTTATAGCAGTAGAAATATTTTTTCTATTTATAAGGCAACTTCTAAGTAAAAATCTGTCACTTTACATTAATGTTAACAAACTTTAACCTTCTGCACTGCACCATGGAGGTATGTAAATATGAATATCCCTGGAATTACCTCTGATAGTACCAGTGCTTTCACTTACTCATAGGGGCTGAAAATGTGTTAGCATTACTCACTTGGATGGTGACGTTTCTCTAAGTTTGTTTTGCAGATGATATACTTCATCGAGAAGATGCATATTTGCAATTTGCTCTTTTTCAAGTTCCGCCTCATTTTCTAATAATAACTGCTTAAGTTTTTGTGATGTTTGTTCATCAGATGTTTCTGCAGAGTGTGAATTCAGGTTTTTAATGTGGATTTCATAATCCACTTGCTGATGTACCGTCGAAAATGTTTTGGCCTCTTGTCCATCAGCATTTTGCATTATAATATGTCTTTCCATAGGCAATTCAGCATCATTCAAAACTATACTGAAAATATCACTGGACAAAAAATTATTAGCAGGCTGCAAATTAAATATGAACATTTTGTACTTTTCAAGCTCAGACTTCATATTTTTAATTCTTTGCCTTAATTCTTCAACGTCGTCTATGATTTCGTAGTCATCAAATGCGTCTGCACTTGCCACACTCAGTTTGAGAGAAAGCAGACTCTTTGAACTTGAATATGTTGTAGCTGAGTCAATGTCCTGGTTATCCATGGAATAAAACTCTTTATTTAGCTCTTTCAATGAATGTAAAATGTTCATGTCACTAATGTTACGAGAAGTTTCTGTTTCTGAAAATAAAATAATTATATGTGAGCATTTATATTTACTTGACATTCAGCTCATAAAAGCACTTGAACAAACTCCTTCTCTCCCACAGTAAGGGAATAAAATAAACTACACTTAGTTTGTATTTTTGACCTTGTCATCTGCACCCACTAATCCACTTTACACTTCTAAACAGCTTCCAAATACCAATTTTCAGTACCTGAAATCAGCTCTCTCCCCAAGTAGGGATTTAAAATTATACTTGCCATCTTCAGTTCTAGACAAGTGACTATTGCGATGGCTAGTATCTTTCAATCTACCAAGGTGAGTCCCTTAACACAGGCTATAACACTGATTTGCAAGCAGACCGAAATGCTTTCTAAAAACTTCTACAAATAAATGTTATTTTCTCCCTATCTCCAATATTTGTACACCACCAAATGGAATTTAAAGTTGGAGGGATTTTAAAAGATTACTAATAAAAAAAATAAAGCTGGAAAAAGAAATTCTAATAAGTTCTCTTTAAAATGATGTTCATGGGGGGATGTCCTACATGCGCTAAGCCACTTGTAAGTAATGTATCAACAGAAATTCATGCCACTAAAACCTTTATACAGCTGCTCCCCGAGTTGCGAACGGTCGACTTATGACCGTTCGCACTTACGACCAAAGCTCCCATGGAGAGGTCATAAAGGCGTTCCCCGAGTTACAAACGCGAACCGCGCTTACGAACAGCACGGTCGCGTGTATCTCAATGAGGTCCGAGTTACAAATGGATTGAGTTATGGCCAAGTGTTTGGTCCATAACTCGTTCGTAACTCAGAGAGAGGCTGTACTTCTATACATCATATATTCTATATTTACTGGAATAAGGATGAGTACATATAAGTTGATAGGGGACTGGAGTTCTCCTATTTCCAGACTCTTCAAAAGATCACCAATATTTAAGATTGTTTACCCCTCTCTTTCTGGAGCATCTTGAAGTAAAACCAGGTCCCTTTATGTATGTACTCCGGACAAGTATAGAGTACAGATAAAGCCAAATTATTCTAGAAACAGGGAATCTAAAGAATAAATCTTATGATCTCAATGGCAAACTGTCAGGTGGAGATGAAGAAAAAAACGAAGCCTGAAAATTACTGATAAAATAATGAAAGTTTCTGGAGGACTAGAGATGGATCAGTTCTGTTTTCCTTAGACTGGCCGTTTGGTTGTAAAAGCCAAGACAAGACAACATACTGTGAAGACTCTGTAATAATTTCATTTATTGTGAGGGAGTCTGTTAGCCGTGTCTACTTCCTTGAGGTGAAAACAAGGAAATTCAACAGCCTCTCCATTGAATCTTCACAGGGACTGAAAATGGACAATACTGACAGGAGGAACAGTACTATAGAGTCTCAACATTCATAAGTGGATACATTAAAAAAGGAGCTTTTATCCTGACTTGTTAAGGACTCAATCCTGGAAGGTGCTTAACTGATTATTTCAATAGTTGAGGATGTTTAGCATCTCACAGGACTGAGACATAATGAGTCAATCCAAAGTCTGACACAATGGACGCCTAAAAAGAATGGCATGGAAGAGATATGGCTATGGATATGGATGCCTTAGCAAATAAAAGTATCTCTGCAAGCTGAATCAAAGGTTGGGAAAGAAATTAGGTGGTTACACTGCACTATCTATCCCAGAGGGAGGTGGTAATTTTTGATTAGGGGCCACTCCTTTTGGTAAGTGATCAAGGACAGCACTTTTCTATGGAGAAGGTGCAGGGTCTGGGACAGAGGTTAAGTGTAGAAGGGGTAGGGGACTGGGGTGACTGTGTGGGGTGGGAAAGGCAGTTTGAGTGAAGGAGGGAGTTATGATCTAGGATAGAGGCTTGGGATGTTGGGCCTGGAAGAGGGTATGGAGGAGAGGATACTGCCTGGGGGAGGGTGTAGGAGGGGCTGCAGGATCTGAGAGGGAGTTGTAACCTGGGGGAAGAAAGGGAGGGCGGGTGCAGAATATTTGGATGGTGACCTGGGGCAAGACGGGGTGGTGACATGGGGCAAGGGAGTTGGGGGGGGAGGGGCTGAGGTGCTACAGGCAGCCTGTGGCCAGGAGGCACAATAGCCCTGCAGGACACTGAGATAGGCTCCCTGCCTGCCACAGCCCTAGGCTGCTCAAAATGGCTGGCTGTTCCCTGGGGCTCTCTGCTCCGAGAGCTGGAATGAGTGGGAGATTTTGCACGCTGCTTCCACCCCCAGCAAAATATCTCTGCCTCATTGGCTGGTTTCTATGAAGCATCCCCCTCCCATGGAGCAGAGAGCCACAGAGAGCAGCCATCCACCTGAAGTGTCTTGGGGCTGCTCTGAAACAGCTTTATGCCTCAGGGTCCTGGAGGAGTGGCCTGGGGGCTGCATCAGGCAGCCCAAGGCTGGACCCTGTGGCCCAAGAGCTGGATCCAGTAGCTTGGTGGGTCGTATCTGGCCTGTGGGTTGTATCTTGCCTGCCCCGAACTATCCCACATGCACTGAGTGCAGGATGATGCTCTGATTGTTGCATCTGATTACTTATGTTGTTCAACACTCCACATGCTATTGGGTAACAAGACAACAACAATACACTTGAAAAAACTTAATTGCACTAGAATACAGGGGAAGATCCTGAACAAAAGAGTAAGATATGTTTCTTAATAGTATCATTCCTATTTATTCTACACCAGAAAGCCAATCCTCTGTGACTTTGCAGTTGGTTGCTGTAATGATTAAGATGTCCCTGAAGATTGTGAATTCAGGTGAGGAACAAACAGCAAAACTAGATGAAGTCTTAAGCTCAATAAGCCTGTCTTTACATAAATGTCCTATATACTAAAGGATATGGGGGTTGGGGACGGGGGACAGAAGATTTGGATGTAGCTTTGTTTTTTAATTAGACTATTCAGTATGGTTTTTCCATAAGGCATTAGTTGCTTTTGAAAGCAGAAACTGTTAGTACGCTTTAATGTACCACACACAGGTAATACATATATATTCTGCAATCCTTAACTGACACTTCAGTGGGATTATTCAAGTAAATGTTAATGTGAATAAGAGTCCCAGAATTAGTCCTCTACTCAGTATGCAACCAAATAAAGGGGTCATTCAAACCCTGTCATTTAAACACTCTCAAAAAGACAAATGAATTATGTAGAAGCACATAGTACATGGTATTAACCCCATTTACATTTTCATTAAATGATTCAGTTAGGTTTCAACTAAGCTAAATAAATGCCTTCAAATAATTCAGATAAGCAGAATTCTGTCATTCTATTGCTTCCTCCCCTAGGAGTATGGAGAAGTGCACAGTAATGAACATATTTAATTCACAAAATGGATAAGAGGAACTGAGGAGGTTTGCAATACAATGTTTGGGAATTATGTACGCAACTCATTATTTTTATTGGAAACTGTGCTCATAAATCTTTGTGACCCTGGTGAAAACATAACCCTTACGATACTAACTTGGGGACATTTGTCCTATACTAATTAAGTAAACAATATTTAAAATCAATTAATGGGGAAAAGGAAAATTATCTACAGCAGAGTCAGTTATTTACAATTATTTAAAGAAAACAGTAAGATAATATATTGTAAGATAAGTAGTGCTTAGTGCTGCTTTCTCACTAGCACCATGTCCACGCACTACCTTGGCTGTTTCTCTGATCAATGACCATCTTATTTTCATTCTTGTCACAACTATCATATCCAAGCCCCTGAGTGTCCATCTGGGTCTCTTTGCAATCCAATCTGACCACTGATTCAGCTAGAGAAATATAATGAAAAAAATAAAAGAAAACTTAGCTAAATGACTTTAAAAAGAGAAGAAAAGAAAAAAGTAGGATAGTAAAACTTATGCTGCAAAAATTCAGAATGGTGAGGTCATAATAAGAACTGCTGTAGTAAACAAAAACACAAATATGCAGCTCATGTGAAATAGTCTAAGCACATATTTTTCAAATACATAAATTATCAAAATAATTACCATAAATTTGCATGTCCAAGGCTTTCCACCCCAGATGGTCTTACCACAAAATTTTACATAATGTGATGAATAGATACAAACTGTCATTACCCTTATTACAAACTCAATTGATTTTTAGTGTTTTATTTTTCAATTTTTGTAAATGTCTACAATGAAGATAAAATTCTCTTTGGAACTTTGCTCCTACCTGCTTTACAGACCATGGGCCAAGGGTGGCACTTCGGGCAGGTAGGGGGGGACAGCAGCCCTTTGCTCCAGGATGTAGCTTGCTTTTCATCCCATGCCCAGGACCAGCCACTAAGAGTGAGTGAAGGGAGCTCACCAGCCAGGTGTGAGGCATGCACGGAATGCAAGAACTTTCCCCTCACTCCCCTAGCGTCCAGGGAAAGGGATGAAAAGAAGAAGTTACTCACTTCGTGCAGTAATGGTTCTTTGAGGTGTGTCCACGTGGGTGCTCCACGTCTGGTGTCGGGCTCGCCCTGGCGCTGCGAATCGGAGGCTTCCCAAAGCGGTGTTTGGCTGGACCGCGCATGCGCGAGCGCTCGAGGCCGTTCGCGCCCTTCCTCTCCGAGCGTGGTCCAGCTCCCACCTCAGTTCCTCTCACCGCCTCATCTGAAACAAGAGAAACAAACGAGATTCCATAGCGGGGAGGAGGGCGGGTCGTGGAGCACTCACAGGGACACACCTCGAAAAACCATCATTACTGCACGAAGTGAGTAACTTCTTCTTCTTCGAGTAGTCCCCATGGGTGCTCCACGTCTGGTGACTACGGAGCAGTGGTCCGAGCTAAGGTTGCGCTACGGGATCCGTGTTACGGCAACGTTGGAGCACTGCCGAGGCTACAGCAGAGTCTGAGGTGGAGTGTTGCTGAATTGCGTAATGTCTCATGAAAGTGACGTTTGACGACCAAGTAGCTGCCCGGCAGATGTCGCACATAGGGATAATTTCGAAATGCGCTGCGCAGAGAGTGGACGACCTCTAAATTGATCTACAACAGATATAAAAAGACGGTCTGTCTTTCGGATATCATGAGTTCTATCAATATAAAATGCGAGGGCTCGGCGAGCATCCAGCGTGTGCAACAGAGCCTCTTGAGGAGAAGCGTGAGGTTTAGGACAGAAAGAAGGCAAGACCACTGGTTCGTTAATGTGGAAGTCCAAGCAGACTTTTGGGAGAAAGGTTGGGTGCGACCTCAGAATCACCAAGTCCTTATGAAAGATCGTATATGGGGGAGATGCTGTAAGAGGGGCAATCTCACTCACCCTGCGTGCCGATGTTATAGCAATAAGAAAAACAACCTTGGTCGTTAATTAGTTGGAGAGATGTAGTCACAAGCGGCTCAAATGGTGGCCATGTCAACGCATCTAGCACGAGGTTGAGGTTCCATGCAGGAGGTGAAGGTCTACGTGGAGGGTTGAGATTAAGGAGGCCCTTGAGAAACCTCTTCGTAATGGGGTGGGCAAAAACCGACCAGCCATCGATCGGGCGGTGGAACGCCGTAATCGCTGCTAGATTAACTTTAAGTGATGGTATGGAGATACCTGACGTGTGAAGGTACAAAACATAGTCCAGGACAGCATGCAATGGTGAGACAGAGGGGTTTAACCCTTTAGTGTCACACCAATGCGTAAAGCGAGACCACTTCGCGAGCTATGTTTTCCTCGTGGAATCTCTTCTACTATTGAGCAGAACACGTCTCACTTGATCTGAACAAAGGCTCTCCGACGTGTTGAACCATCCAAAATCCATGCAGTCAGATGGAGGGGGAGCAATTTCGGATGGCGAAGGGATCCGCTCTGCTGCGTTAAGAGGTCCGGGAGAAGAGGGAGACGGTAAGGCGTTCGAATCGAGAGCTGTAGGAGCGTGGAGTACCAGGCTTGCCAGGGCCAGGCCAGTGCTATCAGCAAGATTCGGGCTTTGTCGAGGACAACTTTCTCTGCTCTGGAACAATAAACCTTGCATTTCGCATTAGCAGAAGTAGCGAAGAGGTCTATGGGGGGTCGACCCCAGCAGTGGAAGATAGATAGGAGTACGTCCGTGTGGATCTCCCATTCGTGGTCGTGTGGGAATTATCTGCTCAGCGAGTCCGCGATGGAATTGCTCACTCCTGGCAGGTACGATGCTATGATAGTAATGTCGTTGCGGTTGCACCAGGACCACAGGCGAACTGCCTCTGCACAGAGGGAGTGGGATCTGGCACCGCCCTGCCTGTTGACATAGTACATTGCAGCGATGTTGTCCGTAAAGATCCTGGTAACAGCGCCCTGTATGTGAGGTTTGAAATGCCTGCAGGCGTGAAAGATTGCCCTGAGCTCCAGTAAGTTGATGTGGAGCATCATTTCTGTATCGGACCATCGACCCTGGATAGTATACATGTCCATGTGCGCACCCCAGCCGGTAAGTGAGGCATCTGTTGTTATCTGCCTCGAAGGCTGAGGTTGGTGAAAGGGAATGCCCACCAACATGTTGCTGGGCTCAGTCCACCATCGGAGGGAATTTTGAACATGGATAGGCAACGCCACACGCTTTTGGATGCTGTGTTTGGCGGGTTTGTACACCAAGGTCAGCCACTGCTGGAGACATCGGAAATGTAATCGTGCGTGGTGGACCATCATCGTGGTGGCTGCCCTACGATC